TGTCCTAATTGTTCCATTTTTGTCCTCCGCATTGCAGGTTACCAGTCTTTGTAGACATTCTACTAGATGTCGTCATACATAGCGGCTGCAAGCAGTCTTTCAACACATCTCCTTCACAGAGCTGTTGTGACGAAGCCTTGAGATTATTCACATTTGGCCGTAGCACAGTTAGAATGCTTATCTTACTGATGCAATGACATGCAAAACTTGTAAATTTTACTGTGAAGTTTGTCTGTAATAACATTCTTTGCATAGTAAATACAAAGCTTGTGATGACAATTAGTCATTGCGTTGATAGGTCCGTATATATCTGAAAAAAATCTGACCTCATATCAGTTCTCAAGAATACTTTCGCTAAGTGCCCACACTTCTGCTTAGTACCAAGTGCTACTCGTGGTCCATGAAATACTGTTCACTGCATTCGTAACTAAATATCAGACCATCGTTATATGGAGTAGTCAGACAGAAGGCGTATGAAATTTAGATGTTAATGTGTGTTCACAGTTAATGACACTATATAAATATACATCTTTAATTTCCAAACAAAAAATTTTATAGGGCAATTTAGGGCTGAGCGCAGTCGGTTAATAGGGTACTCATTACTTTATACACCATGTATAGGTGAAATGCTTCTATTCAGTTTTCGGCAAAGCTGCAATATCTCCCTGCAGTGTTCTTTCACTGCACTTTCACTTGGTATTCAGGAATCCAGCCAAAAGCATGTGCGACAAAGTCCAATTACTTTTTCAACTGAAAGCGGTAGTATTGATATTAAGAGTGATTTACCTGTAAACTGAGGGACTCTAGTGTAACGCGGCACTACATCTCAGCAGGGTATTCTTCCTGCAGGTACAAGTACAGTTCATGGACTCAGCGTTTGTTAAATATGGAAATGTCCCATTGAGTAATGTAGACGAAAGGCTGGTGAAATGTGACGCGCCTGCAGAGATGTAGGTATGTGTTACTTCACGTGAACTCTGGGCCATATCGAGAGGGCATTCCTTTAAATCGACCCTCCGCTGTACGCTAGATTATTGTCCGTATATATATGTAATGACACGGTATTTACCTAGTTTACATATAGTTACGGAATGTACATTATATGAAGGACCACAAATGGATTTTGCGAAAACCAGTGGTGCTCCTTCTTAAGTTTTAACGGGCCTCACTTTGACTAACACGATCAAGGTAATAGATTGTGACGTGGCGTGTTCTGTGGCTGCGAATCGCAGTTGCCTTGTTTTGAATTAATATCACGCGTCTAATCTTATTAACCGATGTATATAGTTCTTCCTTAATGGTACACTACGATACCTAGAAGTCGGGAACACGCGGTTCCCGCAGATCTACTTTTGCTTCCTCACTGTAATTGGGGAGTCAGCTGGTGTTGTGGTAGTACAAAAACAGCTCCAAATCCAAGTGTTTTCTAGACGTGAACATATTTTCCTACTTTGGCGACAATTTAGTCTTTTTATCAAGAAACATCTAAGGATATGAACCTTTGCTTAGTAATTAAAAACGAAAAGTAAACGCCATGTTACTAACTTATTCAAAATGCACAATTATGAGTGGTTCTAACCCTTGACTACTGCATTAGTACTCTTCTTCATACATCATCCTCCCAGCTCCTAAGTAGTGATAGTAATTACTGCTAACAAATTTATCAGGACTACAAGTATGTAATGCATATTAACGACAATATAACTCAAAGACAGACGTTTCTTCCAAATGCACTACTCACTATAACGCATGACCCTAATCTTCCAAACGCTGTAGCTAACAACATTTTCAGAAGTTAATATTCACTATCAACAAGTAGAATATCAATTTGAGGGGTAGGGAACACATTTATTAGTAACTTAACAAAGAATAAAAGATCAGCGATACTAGAGATCACTTTCTTCAGCAACGAACGCCATGAGGTCGCCAAAATTACCGAGTAGCCGAAAAAACAAGGGCTCATAGGATGTTTACATGAATACCACTAATAATATAATAATTAACGAGTTAACACAGTAATAATTAATGAAGTTCATATCGGTCACCGTTTTCGACACAAGTGGATAATTAGACAAAGCAGTGAGAGGATGTAATTTGTATGAATCGTGTAATGTACTTGCGCGACACACTTCGATCAATCTGATCACACACGGACTTGTCATAGGAATATATCTGAAGTTAATAACGAGTTAATGGGTGGGAAAATAAGCTTGTGTCAAGTTAAAATAACATATTGTAGGTCAAAACGACAATGAGGATCACTACACCAAATACCAGAGGGAATAGTGCAGCTGCCCTGACTGGTATCAAAACAAAGTTTATCAAGAAAAGTGGATTTTAGTGTGATGGAAAATTGTTTTTGAACACATAGAGGTGGTCTAAACTTCCTAATCACCAGCTAAACCATCCACAAACTTTAGGATAGGCCCCAAATACTTCTCATCGATAGGTTTAAAATATGTGTTAACATCAATTTTATATCCCGTCTCTATAATATGTTTCTTAATAGAGGAGCTAGGTCTCCTTTTCCAATCATTAATAGGTTTTGGGGATTCTATTTGCTTCTGGATCCACTTAGGAATGTGCTCTGAAGCCCCTATTTGCAGAAATCGATTAGTCTTCCATACTTCCATAGCTTCAATAAATGTAGGACACTGCGTCTACATGATTCCAAGATAATCCTGCGAACTGCCGTTGTACAAAGGCACGCAATGAAGCTTCAGGATAATAGAGAAGTGCGGGAGGTCTAAGAAAACAAACTCAATAGAAGGACGAAATGGCGCACACCTTAGGTGTCCTTACTTACCTGGTTACGACGATGTTTAAGTTTTCAAATCCAGCAAAGTACTAGGATATGTTGTTGTGTGCATTTAACTCATTAAAAAGTTTTGACAGAAAACACCAAATGTAGCGAGTGTTCGTAAAACATATGATCACCAATCTTTGCTTGTATTCATGAATCCCATTGACTTTTAGCAGTCTAAACAACACACAAAAGTGCAGAAGCGCGAAGTCGATATCAACCATATTCTTCGGTTCCTGGAACAGAAACAGGTGCTGTATGACAGCTGATTGGAGAATTTACAGCCGATTATAGATTGCCAGCGGGCTGCAGAGAAATTTTTCAAGAGACAGTCATCGAAGTGTACTCGAAGCATACTCGGCATACAAAATATCCATCGCACGAACCATATATTTAAGCGTCCCGCCACACAAACAGTACGTAACTGCTCAAGGACATTATGAAACAACAGTTTTCATATAAATTCATCCAACAAGAGCCTAATAAGCACCAAAATCAACTGCAGTTTCCTGAACAACTAGCCCCAACTCGAATCAACTGAACCGGGCAAATGCCGCCAAGGTGAAGCTGGTGGCGCCACTTCAAATGGGAGACATGCTATATAATCTCCCGTGAATGTCAGTTTAGATAGTAATCTAGAACCACTGAACTATCTGCTGCAACTTGGTGCATCTCAGCCACACTGACATCACTAAAGAGATGCATAATACATACAGATGAGAAAACATAACAAAAGCATTTAGAAAGGTTTTCATACATTGTTTCATTTGTTTCCGCCACCACAAATGTAGAACTTATTAGCCTTACTATGCCACGGGTTAATTTGTGGCGATGTAATATAGACAGCGTGTTCCAATGGCATATGATTCCCACACATTCCCACAATTCAGTATGGCATTAGCAACAGAATACGATGTATCTATCTGAACGTTCTGTTTCATGTCGTTTATTGTAAACCAATAAACTGTATACATATAAACAGTGGTTTGATTAGTGGAAAATATACCCTGGCTTCCATGTCTTGCCTTCTGCTGTTACATTTGGTGTCTTTCCCTGCCGACAAATGGAAGTCCTATGCCCTGCAGCTTTTGGAGAAGGTGACATACAGATCTTCTGGCAGGACTACGAAGCTGTTGCGCAGTTGAGTGGTGTTCAAGATCCGCCAGCGATGAGCCTGTTACTGGAAACGCTGCTGGGAGGTTGGGTGAAGGCAGCATATGATAGTGTGAGGTGAATCCCCGACGAAAACGAGCCAGGGTCATTCAAATTTCCTCTGAAGTGTGAAGAACCATGCATGGACACTATGAGGTGGAGTCACGTACACACGATCAGAAATGTAAACAAAGGACGTGGGAATTACGGAAGAACGGGAGGTCATTTAAAACCTCAATAGTCCAATTGTAACTACATAGAGTATAGAAGAATTTCATGGCACCGGATATTTTTGAGAAACTACAACTTCGCTGGTGATTACACTTTTTCTACTTAAAAGACACCATTGACTTATATAAAAGAAAAGACGTCCAGCAGACTTACTATTTTCAGCGCCATCCTTCTCAAGCTATTCCACCACATGTATATAGTAAATTTTCTTACCAACAAAAGGGGTATCTCCAAAGATGCGGCTTCAGATTTGCAAATTTTGGATAATAAATCAGATAATTTGTAAAAATGTCAATCGGATGGAAACTGAAGTAAAACTTAAGTAAATTGAGCGACGTAACATAAATGACGGGATTGAATAGAATTCAACCAAAATCGAACGAGAATCAACTTAACAACAGTGGTAATAATGAGCAGAAATTCGGTAGGAATGAGAGAAGAAAATAACGCAACTCAAAACGATAAGAATCAAAAATTATCTATCCAGTGTCAAGACAGATCAGGTCCTTCGTAGATTCAGTGACAGAAAATACTTCTGTATTCGGAACACGGGATTTAACATGTGAGTGGCCAGAACTACTACGGTTCGCAGAAGTCTGATTCGTACTGGGTGACTTTGAATTTGGTTTGTGTGTTGGTTTGGCATCTGTGTACCACTGCTACTCGAGTCTAAGGAAGATGGTTTATTTCGGAAGGTGAATAAGGGTTGTATTGACATTACATTGTGGCAGTGTGTTCCTTGTACCCATACTTAGCAGCACCCTTCACGAGACGTAAACATAGTGCCTTTTCTTGATTAGCTAAGCGGGTCTAGATGCAACCTGATCATCAGGATAAAGTGAGCTACATTAAGTGGATAGTAAATTGCGGAGGAATATTGGGATAAACGGCCAAACTCTAATCATTCAAGCGGCTTTAGAGTTCCTCGCGAAGTATCGGTAGACAGCCTTTTAGAAATACATGCCTCAATCATTAGGAAAACTGTTTCATTTCGTGATAACGTCGATTAATGCTGCTGTTACCCATTCCACATCATTACAAAGCACCTTTTTCCTGAAAATATTCAATGAAATGCACCGGTCTGGAGCGTAGTACCACAAGACTGGAAATAAGTAAATGACTGTAACTTTATACCAAAAGAAAAGTTACCAATAACATTTAATAAGATGTTTACAGCACTGGTTCCAGAATGATTCAGTGACAAATTTAAAAAGGTATAATAAGCAGTCTAGCCTCCATAGCAGCCTGTAAAGAGCTATTCACCTCAAAGAAAGGCGAGCAAGAGTTTAATGGTTTGCAGTAAACACAGTATTCTTCGTGATTAATCGATCAGTAGTTTTGCCACAATGAGGTTCACTAGCTATAAAGTCATTAAGCTTTTAATGGCCATTACCCTAGGACTACAGCAAACCATAGTGCAGCAGATGTGAAACGTTTTTAAAGTATTACAGTTTCCACACAAGGCACTTTCCAGCTCCCGTTGCGTTATTTTTAGCAGTGTCTACTCGAATGCATTTCAGACGTCGTCTGAGTGTCGTTGTGTCGGACAGTGGATGATTTCACTACGAATCTCTAGTCGTCTTAAAGGGAGAAATCTTCGAGCTAACTTCAGGACAAAATTAGTGGCTGTTATCACGGATACAACGTTATTTATAGATCCAATTATTCAAACTTTAAAGATATTATTGTTACACCATATTATATATATTAGATTAACATGCCCAAGTAGACCCAAATCAGTAAGTCTATGGTTTTCAAGTAATTTTCGTTGACTGTATTTGACAGTGACATTACTGCTACGGATTTCGTTGTTGTTGTCCCTGCCTTTCCTGTTGTGATTTTTGTCCCCTTTGCTGTTGATGTTCTGATTGGTTTATTCCTTGTTTTCCTGCTGCTAAATGGAGCAACCCGAAAAGTCGCCTCTCTGTAAACTTTGCATTCATGTAACAATCCCCTTCCATTATGGGTAAATTTTATTTTGATAGAGTCTCACAGTGTTATACAGTAAAATTTACTGATGACGTTTCGAGCACAATTTATTGCTCATAATCATATCAAGGTAATCACACGACTTCCTAAATTCATTTATATAGTTCCATTATTTTTCACTTGATTTCCACTTGATTTGATTGGTAGTGTTATTTTCCATATTTCGGGTATTAGTGATGATTCATTCCTATTGCACGTGTTGGGTGTAGATTCGATGAACAAAGATTCAGTAATCAACCTCTCTCTCCACCTACCTAGATTACTTTTTAGAATTTTAACCCTCTCCCACCCTATTGTGTGGTTGTGTGTTAATGCATGCATTGCAATTGCCGAGCTTTTTTCTAAATTACTTATCTTTTCTGGGTCAACCATTCTTATCTTAGCTAAATTCTTATGTTCTGACAATCTGACTATTCCTGACCTACTAGTTTGACCTATGTAGTTGACCTCACAGTCATTGCAGGGTATTTTGTAAATTATATTATTTTGTCTAATTGGGTCCACTGGGTCCTTTAACCTACAGAGCTTGTCCCTGAGTGAGTTTGTAGGTTTAAATGCCACCCTAATTCCTGCTTTATTTAGAATCCTACGTAGGGTCTCAGATGTCCCCTCTTTATATGGTATAACTGTCGATGACTTATATTCTCTCTTATTTATGTTATCATTACTAGTTCCACAATTATTTTTATTTTGTTTTTGGCCTTTAGTTATCTTCCTAATGAATTTTAAAGGATAATTATTCAACACCAACGCTTCTTCTATCTGTTTTATCTCGTCATTTAGGTCTTTTTTTGTGCTACTTAGTGCTATGGCTCGGTTTGTTAGACACTTAACTAAGCCTGCCTTAACAGTTAACGGATGCGACGAATTAAAATCTAAATATCTATTAGAATGCGTTGGTTTTCTATACACACTAGTGTGAAGTTTACCTTCTTCTATTCGTTTTATTTTACAATCTAGCATAGCCAACTCTCCTTGTTCATCTTCCGATTCAAATGTGAATTTTATCCCCTCTACTAGTGAGTTAATATGTGTCAAGAAGCTAGAGATATGTTCTGTTTTTAACACTGTGAAAGTGTCATCCACATATCTCCACCATATTTTTGGAGTAGGATTAAACGTATTAAGTGCCATATTTTCCCAGCTATCCATAAATATATCTGCTACGATAGGGGATATTGGTGATCCCATTGCTACACCTTCAGTTTGTCTATATATTTTGCCTTGGAATCTAAAGATAGTAGATGTGAGGCATAGCTGAACCCCTAAAATAATTTCTTCAATGGACAGCTTTGTCCTATGATTGAGTTCAGTATCCGCAGTTAGTTCTTTTTTAACTGCTTCTAAGGCCATATTGACTGGTATATTAGTATAAAGACTGGTTATATCAAAACTAACCATTGTTTCATCATTATCTAGTTGTATGTCATTTAGTTTATTTTTCATTTCATATGAATTAGTTAGTCTAGAATTTGAACGATTTCTAATGGGACATAATATTAGAGCTAAATGTTTTGATAATTCATATGTAGGGGTATTTCTAAAATCTACTATTGGTCTTATGGGATAACCTGGCTTATGTATTTTAATAGTACCATACATCCTACTAGCATTATTAGTTTTAGGCATTAAATTAAACCATTTTGACTCACCCAGTGACGGCTTCATTCTGCGTACTAATTCCGCTGTGGATTTTTTAACCTTATTCATTATTGTGTCTACGGGCTTCTTAATTTCCTCATATGGACCCATTTCAATATGTTCATTGACTTTCTTGATGTAGTCAGATTTATCCAAAACTACGGTGGCGTTTCCTTTGTCAGCTTTTGCGATGACAATATTTTTATCCTGTTTTAGATTAATTAAAGCTTCTCTTTCCGACTTTGTCAAGTTTGATTTTGCCTTCTTTTGATTTTTTAGGGTTAATGCACATTGTGCTCGAACCTCTTCTGCTGTTGTTTTATCTATTGAACCTAGTGCTACTTCTATGTTAGGAATGACATCCTCTGGTTTTAATTTATTAACTGTTACGTTGAAATTTAGTCCTTTCTCCAGTACTTTTATCTCACTGGAGCTTCATCCTCGATCGACAAAACAAAGTGGGTGATCAACCTCTCATCAAGGGAACTAAGCTCCAGTGAGATAAAAGTACTGGAGAAAGGACTAAATTTCAACGTAACAGTTAATAAATTAAAACCAGAGGATGTCATTCCTAACATAGAAGTAGCACTAGGTTCAATAGATAAAACAACAGCAGAAGAGGTTCGAGCACAATGTGCATTAACCCTAAAAAATCAAAAGAAGGCAAAATCAAACTTGACAAAGTCGGAAAGAGAAGCTTTAATTAATCTAAAACAGGATAAAAATATTGTCATCGCAAAAGCTGACAAAGGAAACGCCACCGTAGTTTTGGATAAATCTGACTACATCAAGAAAGTCAATGAACATATTGAAATGGGTCCATATGAGGAAATTAAGAAGCCCGTAGACACAATAATGAATAAGGTTAAAAAATCCACAGCGGAATTAGTACGCAGAATGAAGCCGTCACTGGGTGAGTCAAAATGGTTTAATTTAATGCCTAAAACTAATAATGCCAGTAGGATGTATGGTACTATTAAAATACATAAGCCAGGTTATCCCATAAGACCAATAGTAGATTTTAGAAATACCCCTACATATGAATTATCAAAACATTTAGCTCTAATATTATGTCCCATTAGAAATCGTTCAAATTCTAGACTAACTAATTCATATGAAATGAAAAATAAACTAAATGACATACAACTAGATAATGATGAAACAATGGTTAGTTTTGATATAACCAGTCTTTATACTAATATACCAGTCAATATGGCCTTAGAAGCAGTTAAAAAAGAACTAACTGCGGATACTGAACTCAATCATAGGACAAAGCTGTCCATTGAAGAAATTATTTTAGGGGTTCAGCTATGCCTCACATCTACTATCTTTAGATTCCAAGGCAAAATATATAGACAAACTGAAGGTGTAGCAATGGGATCACCAATATCCCCTATCGTAGCAGATATATTTATGGATAGCTGGGAAAATATGGCACTTAATACGTTTAATCCTACTCCAAAAATATGGTGGAGATATGTGGATGACACTTTCACAGTGTTAAAAACAGAACATATCTCTAGCTTCTTGACACATATTAACTCACTAGTAGAGGGGATAAAATTCACATTTGAATCGGAAGATGAACAAGGAGAGTTGGCTATGCTAGATTGTAAAATAAAACGAATAGAAGAAGGTAAACTTCACACTAGTGTGTATAGAAAACCAACGCATTCTAATAGATATTTAGATTTTAATTCGTCGCATCCGTTAACTGTTAAGGCAGGCTTAGTTAAGTGTCTAACAAACCGAGCCATAGCACTAAGTAGCACAAAAAAAGACCTAAATGACGAGATAAAACAGATAGAAGAAGCGTTGGTGTTGAATAATTATCCTTTAAAATTCATTAGGAAGATAACTAAAGGCCAAAAACAAAATAAAAATAATTGTGGAACTAGTAATGATAACATAAATAAGAGAGAATATAAGTCATCGACAGTTATACCATATAAAGAGGGGACATCTGAGACCCTACGTAGGATTCTAAATAAAGCAGGAATTAGGGTGGCATTTAAACCTACAAACTCACTCAGGGACAAGCTCTGTAGGTTAAAGGACCCAGTGGACCCAATTAGACAAAATAATATAATTTACAAAATACCCTGCAGTGACTGTGAGGTCAACTACATAGGTCAAACTAGTAGGTCAGGAATAGTCAGATTGTCAGAACATAAGAATTTAGCTAAGATAAGAATGGTTGACCCAGAAAAGATAAGTAATTTAGAAAAAAGCTCGGCAATTGCAATGCATGCATTAACACACAACCACACAATAGGGTGGGAGAGGGTTAAAATTCTAAAAAGTAATCTAGGTAGGTGGAGAGAGAGGTTGATTACTGAATCTTTGTTCATCGAATCTACACCCAACACGTGCAATAGGAATGAATCATCACTAATACCCGAAATATGGAAAATAACACTACCAATCAAATCAAGTGGAAATCAAGTGAAAAATAATGGAACTATATAAATGAATTTAGGAAGTCGTGTGATTACCTTGATATGATTATGAGCAATAAATTGTGCTCGAAACGTCATCAGTAAATTTTACTGTATAACACTGTGAGACTCTATCAAAATAAAATTTACCCATAATGGAATTACACTCTACCACAGTGCCCAAGTTTTATTCTTATATTAACAATCCCCTTCTCAGGCGTGAGGAAAACAACCCCACCCAGTAAACAAAACTGCTACAGAAAGTTTAGTAGGATAAGTTTCCTTGCAACAAAAGAAAAGTCTCTGTGGGGACATGGAGTGTTCGCATTATGTATGAGATTGGCATAGCTACCCAAATTGTAAATAAGATGAAAAGACATGGTGTTCAAGTACTGGGAAATGTGAAAGCAGATATAATAGGAGTGGGCTCACAGAATCGTCTACAGGATAGTCAGTGATCTGCTCCGGTCACCCAGAAGAAAACCACGAGCACACAGAGGGTGTGGCTATCATGATTTCGTCAATGGCAACGATAGCTTTCATACAACGGAAGGAGTTCTTCCCCAGGATGATGTTAAAATCCTAATAGGAGATGTAAAGGAATATGAACATTGTACGTTGATTCATTGACCTTGGTAGCCATTTGCGGGCAACTTGAAGGCGCGAATGGTTCGATCGTGTACAATTTGAAGAAAACGAAAGAATACGGATAAAAGTATGTTACATTTATTGTAAAACATTTGTTCACAGACTTTGCACTAATCTTGATTTTAATTGCCAAACAATACTTCTTTCCTACAAGTACTGGTGTTTTGGAGTTAAAGCCGAGAAGCAGTCGTGGTAATTATTGGTTCGGTGCGTCTTAGAAAATAATAGGAACTTAGGGTTAAGTTCCTTGACAGGAGACATGAACGCCAAACTGGGACCAGACAACACAGGGAGAGAAATCATCATGGATAGAAAAGCTTTCGGATAAATGAATGAAAATGGAGAACTCCTCGCTGACATCTGCGCCTTCAATAAATTAGTGATTGGCGGCAGCGTATACAAGCACAAGGGTATCCACAAGGCTACATAGGTGTCACCAAACGGGCGAACCGGAAACCAGATTGACTTCATGGAAGTGGAGAGGCTGCTTACTAGACACAAAAGTAAGGAAAGGAGCAGACGTAGGCTCAGACCACTATCTCGTGCAGGGAACATTTCAAATCAAATTTAGAACTTTCAAGGAAACGGGAGCTTGAGATAGACTACAAGCCAAGTTCAATACTCAAAATCTGAAGAATCAGGATACAAAGGATATCTTCACTGCAGTCATAAGGGAAAGGGCGGAGACACAAATCAACACTAGCGAAGAGGCAAGCGTTGAAGAGCACTAGAACAGTCTGAAAGCAGTGTGGAGTCAATCCTGCAAGGAGGTTCTAAACAGAAAGAGGAAACAGGACAAACAGTGGCTCACTACAGGCGCATGGAGACTAATATAAGAGAGGAGGATGGTGTAACAAAAGATTGTCCAGTGCATCGATGAGAAACAAAAACAGGAGTCGATTGCAAGCTACAATACACTGAAACAAAAGAGTGAAGAAGTGTGCCAGCGAAGACAAAAGAAAATATTATGAAGTTGTGGCAAATGAAGCAGAAGAAGCTGCGAGCGAAGGAGACCTCAAAACACTACCAAACAACTAGGTTCCTATTGTGGAAGAGATCAACACAAATTGGGCCAGGGAAAGATGACAACAAGAAGTCACTCACCAAAGAGGTGGAGCAAAGGAAACACTGAGATGAGCACTTCAAAAGACTTTCAAATCGACCGCCACCTAGAACGCTCCAAATAATACCAACATCGGAAGCGGAACTACCAGTGGACATCAACCCTCCGACGAGAACAGAAATCCTGAAGGCAATAAGATGCTTAAAGCTGGAAAAGCAGCAGGACCAGACGTAATAACAGCAAAGGCACTGAAAATAGACCCAGAGACATCAGCTGACTAGATGACACCACTACCGAAGAAGGTGTGGAAAGAGGGCAAGGTAAGGTACCTGCGGATTGGAAGAAAGGCTACTTATTCAAACTGCCAATGAAAGGGGACTTAGGTCATTGTAGGAACTGGCGCGTTATTATGCTCCTGTCCATCCCAAGCAAAATACTAAGCCGCATCATCCTGGAGAGAATCAAACACGACCTGGATGAAAAAATTCGACCGGAACAGGCTGGATTCAGGAGAAACAAGTCATGCATCGATCAAATCGCCACATTACGGGTCATCATTGAACAGAGCTTGGAATGGCAGTCAGCTCTCTATCTCAACTTCATCGACTTTGAAAGGGCTTTTTACAGCGTCGATCGAGAGGTGCTTTGGCAACTATTTCGCTACTTCGGGGTGCCACCGACAATTATACATCTCATCCAGCAGCTGTACGACAATGCTGCCTGCCAAGTAATCCACAACGGGAAACTTACGGAATCCTTCGAAGTGAGGACAGGAGTAAGACAAGGCTGTCTACTATCGCCAATGATTTTCCTGATTGCAGTAGATTGGATAATGCGACAAATAGCGGGCAATGTGGAAACAGGCACAAAATTGACTCACACAAAAAGCTTGGAGGATCTGGACTTCGCCGATGATATATGTCTGATTTCCCACAAACTGGAAGATATGCAAGCGAAAAGCAACAAGTTGGCAGAAGAAACATCAAAGATAGGCCTTCAGGTGAGTATAGAGAAAAAAGGTGATGATGAAGATTCTTGGCCAACAGCAACAGCAACAACAGCAGACAACAATGAGCATAAATGGGAGAAATCTGAAAGAAGCAACCTCCTTTACCCACCTAACTTCGAAGTATCGTTTCAACTGCAGGTGGGCGGAACTGATGAGGATATCAAAGCGAGAATGGAGAAAACAAGGCAAGTTTTCATTACTCTCAAGTCTGTGTGGAGATCAACAGCACTCAGAATGAAAAATAACATCCGGGTTTTCAACTCCAATGCGAAGTCAGTGCTATTTAATATACGGATCAGAGACTTGGCGCGTCACAAAGGCACTTCGAACAAACTACAGACCTTCATCAACATCTGTCTTCGCTCAATAATTCGCTCAAGATCAGGTTGTTGGCCAGAAAAGATCAGCTACGGGGAGGGATCTCTAGGAACCAACCAACCAGGAAGCGTTTGTGCAGCGAATATGCAGGAAGAAATGGAGGTGGATTGGCTAAACTCTGAGAAAACCATCAATTTACATCACACACCAGGTCATTGCTCGAGTGTAACCTGAATAGGAAGTGCAAGTTGGTAACCAATTAGAGATTGACATGGAGGAGGTCGTGCGATGAGGGGATGAAAGCATGTAGGCGCACATGGAGCCAGGTGAAAGCGTTGGAGGAGAACCGAACGAAGTGGAGACGTGCGGCTGAAACCCTATGTTACTCTAGGAACTAAAGGAAACAATTGTAACATAATAAAGATATTTCATTCGATCTGATTCGGAACATGGAGTGCAGGTGGCAAGGCTTAATCTGAAATATGAATAGGATTCATTCAAAAATGTCCGAAATTTGAAGACCAAAATGATTAGACAATTTCCGTATATCACATCGGAATAACGGCTATTACGATTTAATTTATCCCTCCTGTCATACAAGGCGTCGGACGATAATCCCATAGTAGAACCCTGTATCTTGCTCACTTAACTGTGTGCCTAATTGTCCCAATTGCTTAATGTCTCAGGAGGTTTCCATTTGAGAGGAAGTCATTTTAACTCTAAAGAACCGTGGACTGATATCCCAAGTATGAAAGGACAAGAATAAACAATAGACACCAAAATTAAATGGCCTTGATTTGACCAATCAGATAGCTCAGCATTACAAATGGTTCCTAGTCATAATCCTCTTTGAAAGTGTCGCCTAGATTTGGTTTTTGACTTCTCCGTAGATAATGTGTTGATAGGGAGGAATAAAACATGCATGTGTGGAGGGATAATAACTCTGGAGAAGTATTGCCGGGCTATTGATGGTTATACATTTAGATGCAACCACTTTATATGAAGAAGTCTCTGTAAGTTGGTAAGTCGTACATAAATGGTGATTTTTTAGACACTTTCTTCCCTAAATCAAAGCTCTCCCTTAGTAATATATTGCGTATACGCAGCCAGTATCTGCTACAGCTGGAGAAATAGAGAATACATTGGTTTGATATGTCTGTAACCACTTCTATGAGAATCTGGGGGCACTTTTCGCAGCATGTTGGAGATATATACCCTATATGATTCATTTTTATTACATATATCATAGATACACTTCTGTGTAAATTAAGTACCACTTTTCACCTAGAAGAATCTGATTGGCTGTTTCAAGGTCGTCTGAAGTTGGTGTCTATTCTTTACTGTTGCCTTTGAAAGTCTACTTCTCATTTTTAATTTTCTACCACAAAGTGTAATTTCTTCAAGGGAAGACTTCACTTCTTTTACAGGTAAGAGAATGAGCTGGCAAAGGTCCAGGTCTGGTTTGCTGACATTTAACCTCTTGTAATGTAGCGGAAATACCACACGACTACGCTACCTGCAAGGGTTGTTGTATTTGCGGGAATCACTCATTTAATTTTCTCTTTGGGTTTCCGAATTAGTGTTACTTCTCTTTTTGAGCTAATCAACTTATTCATTAATTTCATCATCACACGTGAGTATACTTTGTGCTATTGTTGTGTAGTTATAACTACACTATAGCTCAAATGTTTCTTTTTTTAACCATACAGGGGATATATTTAGGTTATTTATGGGCATTTAGGACCAGTTTTACGACCTTTACGGAAATCTTTTGACCTTTGAGTCACTTGTTGAAATTTTAGTGATTTGGGAAATTACTAATATTTTGATTTCCCAGAGTTAGTAGTAGTGGTAGTATCCTAAACAGTACTCTTGAGAGAAATTCGAATTTTCAGCATCTGATGCAATGTTGCATGTATCTCGTTAAACGAGGGGGAAACTACTAAGATTTAGGTGTAGATTCAGATAATCCTTAAGGATTGTAGGCTCTTGTGGCCTGTGTTAATCCTTGGAATATATATCTCTGTAGACTTAATTCCTCTTTAAAAGCGTTCGCCGACTGAGCTGATACTAGTTTGTCGGATAAGGAGTTCCAGTCGCTGACTATTATGTGAGAATCTAGATTCCACTCATCTTCTATTCCTTCGCAGTTTGATTAGCCTTTTGTGGTAACCTTGCAGAGGTATCCTATAGGGAGAAAAAAGGTTAGACAGATCATTCCTCGAATTATTCTTAATATACGATATGCGTCCTCATCGGATATGATGATGGGAAGATATTTTAGTGTTTTATCGTCTTCCTATCCTTTGTACTCTTTCCAGGATATATTCCCTCGTCCTGAAACATTGAGTAGTCGCTTGTATACAGTAGTGCAGATGAGGCCTGATATGTTGTGGAGATTGCTTTGAACATAGACTCAGCTAGGTGTTTGAAAGTCCGTTAAAGTGCCCATAGCATTCAAAAATCAGTAGCTGTAGCTGCATTGCCATTTGCATTTGTTTTCAAATCGTGGCTGACTGTAATTCCCAAAACTTTTTGTCTCTTAACATACGGTACTTTTGTGTCCTCCAGGGATTACAACATATAAGACCTGTTCCCTAAGTGCATTACCGTACTTTTTCTAGAATTAAGTTCTGAACTCCAAAGGTTAGACCATTCAGTAGATATATCTGGATCACTTAATAAGAGTGGTCTACCATCATTATTATTTGCATTTTTCCCAATCTTAATGTCATCCGCAAATAATAATGGGGATGAAGGAAGAATTTTTGTTAGCTCGTTTACGTGTAGTGGGAATAACAAGGTGCCTAGTACAGTCCCCTGCTGTACTCCGTTGATAATAATGTCAATTAGAATAGTAATGCGAAACTGAAATTTAGGTGGAAATATGAACAACAGTATATTGATGAAAAGAAGAATAAGAGGGGCCGTGTACTTGGTGTTTCTCAGTAAGTTAATAGTTTCATGCCATACACACTTGTCATCACATAAAATGTGTGCCAAATAAGATATCGTAGAGTTTTTATATTTAGTCATCTGACCACTGCCTTTTGTAATTGCTTCTGGTCCTACCTGTTGAGATGTAACAAGATTCTTATTTAGGGAGGATGATCAGAGTTAAACAAGATAAAGTTCTCTAATTTCTGGCATTAAGCTGGCCTCAAACTACTTGTGTGTGTATTGTTCAGGCTCAGGCAAAAAATGTCGGACTTATGGATACTCGACGTGATTCTCAAAATACCTCAGGTTCTTCCCCTGTTAATATGCTACTGCAGGTAACTTGAAGTTTGCCAAGACAACTTTAATTTGCCGACTTTTTTAAAGATTCGTACATTGGGATTTCGCTGATCCCTTGTTTTTTAGGTAAAATGACTTTCTAAAAGTGACACCATACAAACTAATCACTTGAGTTTGTTGTGTTTTGAATACAGTGTAAATCTCTGACAACTTTCACTGACACGATTTAAGAAAATCTATCGATATTTAGTGAGTTGTAGCTTAAGATCGTATGAAACACGGTTAGTAACTTTTGTGCATACGAAGTATACTGAATGCCTTAAACTTGGGCTTTAATATATGAACAGGAGCAGTGGGGATGAAATGTAGTTGTTACGTATGCACCTAGTAATGTTCTACGTATATAAGCAAATTTAAATCCCATTTCGATTTCAACTTGCGAGGTGCGAACAAAATAAAAGAGCACCATAAAGGTTCACATCTTTTCAACCAGTTACATTGGTTATGATAATTTAGTAGATCTTACAGTACGCACATAATATTACTACAGATTTTATGAAGCACTTGTCTCACTAGTTGGCGAAACAACTCATTTACGGAGAATAGATTTTTCGTATATCAGACTATTAGTCATAATTGTCGTGTGGGGTGTGATGGTACTTCCCAGTCGCCTGAACTGAAGTAAGTGGGGCGCAGTTCGAACTGTGAATCACCGGCTAGAACGTAACTAAGTCTCTTGAGTGAAAAGGAGACTTTTCGCGTGTAATTTCACTAAATTTGCTTATATTTTAAGCACCAAACTACAGAGGAACTCAAGTTGTTATTACAGTTTCATGACCATGTGTTCTGGTTTTATGCCATTTTTCTGTCAATGGCTATTTTTCCGTTGTGTGAAATGGTAGAAATCGTGAAGGTAAACAACATTAATTTTTCCTTACAGCATTTAATGTTTTTCAATTAATACTCGATTGGTGTACGGTAATCTTATTTTGATTGCTTTTAGCAGTCGCCAAACTTAAGTCTTGAAAGTAATACTAAGCTTCTGCACACCAGCCAGTCTTAATGTTGAAGGAGTTGCTGTTAATAAGACGATTGTCTTATCTACTACTTATGATCATAGCTTGATTTGTGTTAGTTTCGCCAGTTATACTCCCAACATATAGTATGCCATAGCACTGACGTGTCTTGGCACTTTCATAGCTAAAACATCCTACGCATGTTTTATGAGAAAGACTCAAGTAATTGTTCTAAGAAATAAAATGGATTGCATTTTCTGATACACTATGTATATTAATGTTTTTAGATATTTGTCCACAAATCTCACTTGGAGTTACTTGTATCAGTGTTTGATATTGCCTGTTTATTTTCAATGAATTCGCACTGGCATTCCTTACCAGTCAAATTGTCTGAAAGCACCTTAGAGGCAATCTCCTCACTTGGCTTTAAAGAATGCATGCCAGTTCAGGTAATTATATAAAGTCGTAATATTGTCAGCAATCCGTTATTCCTCTGCTGCTGTCTTCGAAAGATGTGGCAGCTGAAGCTGTCACGGGGTCTGGAAAGACTTTGGCATTTGTTGTACCTGTTTTGGAGATACTTTTAAGAAGAAATCGTCCCTGGCAAATATATGAAGTAAAGAAAATATGTTTCTTAAAGTGATTAATACTTAATAGATCGGGGCTTTGATTCTGTCTCCAACTTATGAACTAGCAGTACAAATACATGAGGTTGTCTTACATTTCATTAAATTCGTCAATATGAAAACAAAGTAAGTGATGAAGGAAGCACCATCAATCTTACCATTAATCTATTGATATGCTTTGTACTCCCTGTTAAGCGTTTTGTTTTCATTCTGCTTAAGATTTTTCTTTATCCTAGAACCAAAAGGCAGTCGTGACTTTACTCTTGTCACGACTCCGTGTGGTCTGACCGCTTTCGATTAGAATTAATCGGGTTCCATTGGCTTAGTGGTCTACCAGCTAGCTTGCCTTGTAATCGGAGGGTCCTGGGTTCGAACCCTAGTGAGTACATACTTCTGAAGAGTCCCGGGGGGCTAGGACAAAATAGCTGTCCAGTACTCCCAAGTTTTCCAATCGTTCTCTAACAAATTTCAACTCATGATGAAATCCTGTAACCAGTAAAATCCCTGCAGGCCAACACTTAAATAGCTTTTGTTGTGTTGCTTAACTTTATAATTTATTACTGATTCTCACTTAAAGTGAATTAAGTGTTTAAGAAAATAAATGGTAGGGTCATTGTTTCTTGAAACTATTATGGATTTCCCACTGATTGATTTTACTGGACCAAAGTGTTCTGCCTCTGTTGAAATATTCGCCCCTCATACGGATGCTTTGACTATGCTTTGAAGTGAAATTGATGTTATTTGGTCATCTGTGACTAGCAGTGGATTCTAAAATTCGCGTTCCGTCTTATTTACGACTTGGCAGCTGAATATACGTGTATTTCAGTCAGTGATGTTGTTCCTATCGAGAATCCAACCTAGTACCCATCTTTTCAAATTCTATTGCGTTATCTGTTAGGTGACGGAGTTAGGTTACTGCTGTAGCTTAGGCCTCATGATGGATGATGGGCTTTCCCCAGGTTGAAATAAAAGAGCTGAGCAAATATGTACTTCTTCATATACTAGGATATGGACTCCAGATACTATATAATAAGTTTAACATTTTGCAGGTGTAGGTAAATTTAAACCCATTACGTACGAATTGGATTTAAGAACTTAAACCAACCACAACTCCAGTTCACACTGTAATGATTCAAAAAACTGAAGTCTCACTGGTTAGTTTTCGTGTTTTTAAACAACACATCAAAGGCTGTATTAACTAAAATAAGAATGAAAAAAACAGAGTAAAATAGTAAGAAGCTAAATGTGTTATTAAGAAATGTGTTAAAATTGAGATCGATGTGATAATGTGAAACAAGGTAATTTGTAGGTATAGGCAGTGATTTTTGCGTTTTATTTTTTCCGTCTGAAAGAGGTGTTCACCATCTTAAAAGCAATGTCATTTACACAGTGCACTGATTCTTAAGAAAGGCTCTTATTCATGTTTATTGAATTTAAGTGTCGTATCATATTTTAAACTCTAAAAGTCTATGTGAACTTTAAAACCGCTTTTAACCATTTTGATTTTTTTTTCATCATAAATTTTCCCCAATTTCACTTTATTTTGCAGTGGTAATTGTAATTTTTCTTCACTCGTTTTCACTGGTGGTGGACGTTCCACTGGTCCAACTACAAAATTTCAAGATTTTGCTGCTTTTAAAGAAAAAGGTTCCACTATTCTTGTCGCTACTCCTGGCCGTTTAACTGATTTAATCTTAGCTGGTCAAGTTGTTGATTTTGGGCTGGGAAATATGATGAATCCTATAATTCGTGGACTTCGTAGTATTGTATGTTATTTTGTTTTGATGCTATTTGCAGCTACTGTCTCTATAAGGTGTTCGTAAGGTGTTCTAATCGGTTCACATGTCGAAACACATGAGGTCTTTCTTGTGCAAAGCGTATCAGTTGTTTATATTGGTTTTTCGTAATTTCCAGCTGAGAAGTTTCAAGTAGGACACGATCGACATTCTGAATTCGACTGCCAGCCATGATCAGGCAAATGGCAGTACTGGAAGTGTGTTTGGTGGATTAAGTTGTTCAACAGCCGTGCTCAGTTCAACACTAACCAATAGGTCATATCGTATTGCTATGACTTGTGTTAATACGTCATTGCGGTGCCCGCCTTTGTTGGGCGGATTTTAGTTCTAGCCAGCAACCCGACCAGTTGATTTGTATGATTATAAGCAGAGGTGTGACTTATTGGATTAGTAGGCCTTGATTTATAAACAGCGCCTCCACCTGCCTAGTGTATAAGTCACTAGATAGCAACAGTAGCTATGATACAATTAGTGTGACACGTTATTACTCAGTGTTTGAATATATAGGTATCATTGACTTACTCATATTTGGATGCACAAATCTTATAAAAGTCATTTATACGAGCCTTTTTGTTTGCTATCTCTCTCCCTTAATTATTCCATATGTTTTTCTTGTACATTGCTTAAAAAATATAGGAAATTTTAATACTGGATGAAGCTGATCGTCTTTTAGAAATGGGATTCGAATCACAGTAAGAATAGTGGATTATATATTGACCACTAATGCTTATTTCTTTGTTTGTATGCATTGATCCTTCTTAGTTCTCTCTTTCATTTGGGTTCCGCGTGGAACATATGCTTTAGAAGCACATTTCCATTTCCTCCTGTTCTCTGCAGCCCTGGCTTCACGATTGCCTAGAAGTTTTCATGATGTCCTCCATGTCACCCTCGGACGTTCAACTCGCCTTTCCCCATTCGAGTTTCATTTGAGGGTCTGACTGGCATGTGGCATCACGCAACGGTCTCGTCAGCATGTGTCCAATCCACCTCCATTTCATTTTGCATTTGTTATGCAATAGGTTCGTTGCCAGTATTCCTGTTTGTTAATCTTTTCCGAAGTGAAGGCATTTTTCGATAAAAGTGTGCTGTAATTTGTTGGAAATGCTTTTAGTCACGCCGCAATTATCTACACGACATTCCTAAAATATGAAGTCTCAGTCAGCTGATTTTCAGGTATACTTGACCTTCAGCTGTTTCTCTTATTGGTTTAAATTACACTTCATTTACTCAGTCGTGATTGATTAAGGTAATGTAGTGGGCGAAGACGTTAAATACACTTGTATATCATTATTGAGTCGCATTTCACAGGTTTCAGTGGCTTTTAATGGATGACCTGTAAATCATTTGCACAATTATGTTGGATCTAATTAATCCTTGAATCACACTTATGTGAGATATTGTTGCAGGGCTAGATTACACCTACTACTAGCTTTAAGATAGCGAATTGATAGAGTGTTGTTCACTTCACTTATTTATGAGGTTACATCATCTCTAGTGGAGTGACTGTTGGCGAAATCTTGGTACCGATACAAAGGCTTATTTAGCATTCGACAATTTGCGCCATCTTTGGTGTAAACGTGATATCCGGAAATCGATCAAAGGACATGTGTACTGCACAGAAGGTTACTCCGTCCTTGCTTGTGGCTGTAAGATATGCCCATTGAAAGTAGATGTGAAGTGGCTAGCTGTTTTTGACCGCAGGTATTAGCGTTCGGTTTCCCGTGTTATGTGGTGTAATATTGTGAGCGAAATTAAGATTGATCGTAGACTCCTAGGTAAGGAAGGGGATCCAATCGATGAGGTTGTGAAGCTACATCGATTGAGATGGCTAGGATACGTGGTGCGCATCCCCAGCCGTTGTCCTTGTCGACGGGCAATCTTAGCTAACATAAGGTTGGGTTAGAAAAGAGTTAGGGATGGTCAAACCAAAACTTATCATCAGTCCTTGGAATCTCTGACAGTTTGATTTACGCAGGGAAGTATAGGCTGCCTGGTTGGGTTCCTCTGGATGTTAAAAACCAATGGCTGGGGACTATTGGTGACTCGAAATCGCTCACAAAAGCGCTCTCCGTGAACCCCCACGTCCATTAAACCGTCACGTTTTTCCATGTTGAATTATTCTCCTTTTCTCTACCTCTTTGGAGACAATTCATTTTATCGACCTTTCCGTTTTCTTGATTGTCATTTTTTATTCGTCTCATTTGTAGTGATGATCTTAGTAAAATTATGTTCATTTTGTTCAGTTTTCTGTTCGCCCTTCTCTAACATCTACTCTTTGCACATTTACAGAATAAATACGATTTTATCGTTTTTACCAAAACAACGAAGGACAGGATTATTCTCGGCTACACAAACAACTCGAATTGAGGATCTACTGAGAGCTGGTAAGTACCTTTTCTGTTTGTATGATGATAAATCTCATTTTATCAAGTGTTGGTTTGCAAGGGTTTGATTAGTGACAGGTTTAATCAGTAGGTAACATCAGTTAGATAACCATTGGAAAACAAAGAGTATTGGACAGCTATTGTGTCCTAGTTTGGGATGCTTTGGCAGTACCCATCCACTGGGATTTGGACCCAGAACCTTTCGTTTACAAAGTGAGCTCGTGGACCATTCGGCCACTGGGACACGATCCAAGTGCTCGTGAATTCCAACTTCTGTCAATTCGTAATATGTATAGGGCAATCACCAGGCAATGTCATATGCAAGTAACCTTCCTCTTAACTGACTTTTCTAATTTCTGAGGTTTGAGGGGAATCATGATTACTTCCAGTGTGGATTTCGTCAGAAGTCAGCACATCAGTTGGGGAATTATTGAAAACCACCGAGCCTTTCGTCACGATGCTCTGCTGATGATAACCTGCAGGTCCTGGACTCGACTCCTTGTGGATGTTCACTCGCAAAAATTCGCAAACAAAGATGGATAAATTCTGCATTACTGCTTTGTTTTCAAAAATCAATTATTGAAAATACTCCCAGCATATTTAAAAAATTACAACAAGATTTTTCTGAACATTCCGCTGTGTAAACCAAAACTTCAGCAGAATTACTCAAATTTTATGTTAAACATCAAAATATGCATATATAGTTCAATAGTCCATGAGACAAAGTGAACTTGTGTGTAAGATATTTGAAATTGTTTTAATCCCGCATATATATTTGAATTCATATTTTAGGACTACGTAATCCAGTTCGTGTGACTGTAAGTCAACAAACAATGAAAGATGTCAGCTCTGTTAGTGATGGATCTCAGCAACAGAAATTACAACCACAACAACAGCAACGAACACCATTTGCGCTACAAAACTATTATGCGGTAAGTAATTCCTGTAAGACAACAAAACTCGAATTCTCTGCTGTATTGAGGGACGCGAGTTCTCATATTTAGTCTATTTCCTGTCACTCAGCAGTGTGAAACGAAGTACGTTTGCATGAAAGGGATGCAGATTGCTGTGACAAAATGACTGTTCAGTGCTTCGCGGTGTTTGTTACTTTCTGCAATTGATATTAGCTCATGAAGAAATCAGTCTGATAATGTCAGGTATCTTAGATGTAGAATAGAATTGCAGGTATCTGACTTCAAAAGACTACCATGTCTATCGTGGCTGTGTGATCACAGAAGGCTTCTTTATTCCCTACACAAAGGTGTAGATCAGATCTGAGTAAATTATTCTACACATAATAACTTGAACAATATATTACAATAACTATTTTGATGATACGTCCCATTTTCTCTTTTTCTAGATTGTCGAACCAGATGAGAAGATGTCACTTATTCTACGATTTATTTTAGCACACAGAACGGAGAAAATTTTAATATTTCTGGCTACTTGTTCCTGTGTAGATTATTTCTATTCCATTCTCAAAGGTTTACTTCCATCAAAACAATCTAAACGGCTAGAAAAATTGCACGGGAAGTTGAATAAAAAACGTTTCAGTGTATTCACCAAATTTAAAGATTCACCAAAGTGAGTACATTCATATAATGTGGAAGATTTGTATTTTACATGCTTCTGGAATATATATGACTCTTCCACCATAGAACTTATCTTTATAGAAATTATGTAAAAGACTCGTTGTAGCTCAGACGGATGATATTGTTGTACAGACTGATATCAGTTAGAGAAACATTAAAAGCCAGGGAGTACTGAATAGCCGTCCCATCCTTGTGTGAAACTCTTCAGCAGCATGCACTCATGACCCCACCGGAAATAGAATCTAGGATGTTCAGGTCACGAGGCGAGCTTGTTGACCGTTCAGCCACCTCCAGTCAATGTTACTGGCAAGTGTTTGTTCTCACATCTGATCTGGTAGACCCCACGGGTAATGAATTCTCACCAAAACTCTATGTAATCTCCTTCCCTAGCTAATCACTAGTGAGCATCAGATTAATTTTCAAGTGTTAGTCTGTGGGGATTTGATTGGTTTCAGGTTTGCTCACGTATTAATACCAGTTAGAGAACTGTTAGAAACTAGAGACTACTGGACAACTGTTTCTTCCTTGTTGCCAATCTTAAAACCAGTCAAATTCCTACAAACCAACACTTGGATATCTGTGTAGTTTTGTGTTTTCTCAGCTGGATATGGTTTAATTGCGAAGCTTTGATTGTCTTTTTAGATAACATCATCAGCACAGACTTAGATATGAAGTGAGGTTTTAGGATTCACTGAGTTTATTAGCTGTCTTTTGTGGCAACCCTGAGTATGATTAGTTTTTTCAGCAGATTATTTCACCCTCTTCTCCGCTTGTTTTGATCGGTAATAATCAATACAACTACACCAATAACTTCTCTTGTTTTTTATTCAAGAATTAGATCTGCACATCATGTTGGATAATTTCACTATGCATTACAGAATGCCTTCTTGTTTCTCTGAAGCTGCTTCCTGTTTGTAGTGCGTTCGTGACTATCGTATCCTTTGCTTTGACTGTTCGCGGTCATAACTAGCAGTTCGCTCTGTGCTTGTCTGTGACTGAAACATGGCCACTGGAAGTGGGAGATACGAAAAGGTTGGCTTTCTTTGACCGCAGATCATTGCGTTCTACATCGCTGGTTAAGTGGTATAATGTGGTTAGCAATATTAAGGTCAGCCGTATTGTGGTAGACAAGGAGAGTAAGTCAATCGATGGGGTAGTGAAGCTGCATCAGCTAAAATGGCTAGGACACGTGTTGTACAAGTTGAGCCACTGCCTCCATCAACGAGCAGTGTTGACTGGCATAGGGTTGGAATGGAAAAGAGTTAAGGGTGGTCTAAACAAAACCTTTCATCAATCCATGAAGTCTTTGACAGTTGGTTTGAGCCATGTGGGAAGGTGTAGACTGTCCGGGTGGGGTTCTCTGGATGCGAAGAACCAATGGCTGGAGAGTGTTGGTGGTGTAGTTCAAAATCATTCTCAGTGGCGAAGATACGTTTACCCATACCCACCAAACTGTCATGTTCTTTCATGTTACAACTTTCCTCCCTCACATTTCTGCTCGATATAGTTCTCTTGAATATCTTTTTCGTCTCTTTTGTCTACCTTAGTGTGCTACATGGAATGTGGTAGCTTGAACTGATGCACTCCCGTGCAAAGTTCTATTTCGAAACTTAGTAACTCAGTCAGATAAATATGGTTACTCGTCTAACGCTAAACCTAACACTAGTCCTATTACAGGCAATTCATTATCACTTTATTTCAATATAAAAACTCAGGGACGACACCAGGACATACAACGAGAGCTCTTCGGATAAAAAGCTGAAATCAGGAAAGCAATGAAATTCTCAGATAATTTAATCGTGTTATCTTTAAGGCTTTCGTTATGTCAGATTCTCTTTAAAAATTTGATTATCCCTATGGTTTGTCTTTAAATCTATGGTTTGTAGACATTAGTTGAATTCCATGGAGATCGATTAACGTTAGTATGTTAACTTGTTTTGTTAACATCTTAACACCGTTGGTTTCACCGTAATGTTTTCAGCCAGTCGAACTGGAAACTCGTTAACGTGATGTATATGCATGCGTCAAAATATCTGTGTTAATTTTCGCACTGGGTCTGTAGCCCAGTACTCATCGCTTCATACTTCGTATCATCATCCGATGAACTTCTGGGTGTCAACTTTCTGTTGGAATTTTTATCTTTATCAGGCTGCAGATTCGTTGTATTTACTCCCGAGTAGTGTATATAGTGTGATCTTGGTTAGAGTAGAAAACTAATGTATGCCCCTGTTTTGTTCGAAATAATAAATTCTCGTATTTATTCTTACGGCCAAGATATAACTACATCAAATTTCAAAAAATCCCAAACAGGATAAAGTGTGTATCTGTGTCTTCCACTACTCTACACTTTCGACTGGTATTGTAAAGCAGACAAGACTGAGGAGACTGAAAGGAATGTTTATTTGGTGAAACGTATGGTACATAGCTAAATTTGGAATACCATATTCTCAACCGGCTATTTGCACATCTTTACCACATCCTTGACGAATTGGTCGAATATCGTCTCATTCGATAGCTTCTTGGATTCTGCATCATATGGCAACATTCTTCTCATTGTTCTCTTCTTTGAATGCTCTTTCCAGTGTGCCAAACATGTTGTTACTTCGTTCCTGATATACTACTTATATCGGATTATAAGTAGCACTCACCACACTCGCCCCCTCATTATAAAGTCTCTCCTGTAACCGCCTTGATCGCCGCACAGACGTTTCATCCTGCTGCTCTTCTGGTACCTTGTCTTGACATTCTTCTCTCCATCTTTGTAGCAGACTGGCGTTTACTCTTTTCTCTTTATCTCCTCTCTTTATTGTGTACACTGGACCGCGTCTCGATGTGACCACATATGGTCCCTCCCACTTCGGCAGAAGCTTTCCTGATCCTGGTCCACTGCCGGTAGTATACTTTCGTTCTCTACATTTCACCTGGTCACTTACTTCAAACGGCTTCCAAGCTTTGATTTGTTTCTTGCCATAATCTTCGATGTCTATCTTGCGCTTCTCTTGTATATTCTGAATAGCTTGTTTCCGCTCACTTGTCCATCTCTTACTGTTCCATTTTTGTTGTGTTGGCCAAGTCTTATGGTGCACCGGTAAGCGTGGTTTCCTCCCATACATCAGCTGGAAAGGCGACTTTTTTGTTGTCCCTTGTACTGTGGCACGATGTGCTAGTAATACCAACGGTAAGTCAGTTTCCCAGTTGCCTCTTTTCGCAGCTAGCCACTCCTTGAGTGTACGATTGTTCCTTTCGGTTAAGCCGTTTGTCTGCGGATGATACGGAGTCGCTCTAATCCTCTTAATACCCAGTGCCTCCAGACGAGTCTTGAACTCCTCACTTTCAAAACAGGGGCCTTGATCTGTCAATATCATTTTTGGTACACCATGATCCGCCACAATATGTCGAATAACCGCCTCGGTTACGGTCTTGGCGCGCTGATCTGGAATCGCTACAGCATTTACCCACCGCGTGGCGTGTTCTGTCATCATTAAAATGTATTGATTTCCACTTGCTGTTTGAGGGAAAGGACCCATTATGTCCACGGACCATAGGTCACCAACCGCCGTTATGGGTATCGTTTGTAGCTGTGGTCGAATGCACCGATCACCCTTCATCAATTGACACTGTGGGCAAGCGAGTACGTAGTTTGCAATATCGCTTCTCATGTTCGGCCAGTACGCACTTTGGCTCACTAAGTCGTATGTTCGTGCAACTCCTGTATGAGCTAGTTGGTGGCATTCTTGAATGACCCCACGACCTCACCACAGTATAACTACGGTTTCTTGCATGCACTACAAAAGTGCGAGATTTCGATTTCTGTAGTTCGGTTTGTAAGGGTTAGATATGTTTTTACGAGTTGATCACGGATTGATATCAGTTAGAGAACCATTGAAAACCAGGGAGTACTGGACAGCTGCTGTTTCATCCTAGTTTGGGAATCATCGGCAGTACGCACCCACTGGGATTCACGGTGCACATTGATTTGATGATATTAGATAATTGGAGGCAATCGGCAGGAAGCATTCCATCTAGGTTTCATGCTAGTTGGCATCCGTCAACAAGGCGTATCTGCAACCTTGGGTGAACTCATGTCCCTTCTGAGATTCGAACCCGCGTCACCCAGTGCTACAGTCAGAGACGTTACCACTGAGCTATTCGGGCTTGCGAATGACCTCCGGTAGGACTGTAGTAGGTATTTTGACTGAACACTAGTAACTACTGCAACGTGTCTAGACCTTTCTTTGGTGTAGACTGAATTCAATCAATAAAACACAAAATAATTGAGCAGAGAATATCCTTTTCGATTATTTCCTCTTCTGGCTCTACAATTATATATATATATATATATATATATGCAGAACATTCTAGATCAGTAGTCAATAACAAAATTAGTGTTTTTTAAATAATATCGATTTGTAAAGTAAGATCAATGGAATTACAGTTCATTAAAGATGCTTAAATTATATTAATAATAATGAAGATATAGTAGCAAAGAGAATATCAATTAAAATTAGGAAAATTCCACAAAAATTCAGGATCATTCAAACCTAGACGACCAAGGTAAGGATAATGTCTGAACTAACTTCTTCTGGACGCACAAATTAGGCTTCTTAATATGGCTCCCAACAGTCTCAGCAATATTTAGTAGTCGAACTCTTAAGGCAAAATTGAGATTTGTTGGTATGCGGTAAATAACCCTGAAAGCCTGGTTAACATCAATCTTGTGTTCTGTATCCACAAGATGAGATAGAATAGCGCTACGAATAGATTTTGTTTATCTTTTACTTAACCATACAGGATGATGTCCGGAAATTCAACGAGAAACAAGCCTAATTGTACGGCCTATGTAACTGGCTCCACAGGAGCAGTTAAATTGGTAGATACACATGGAAGAGGCGAAATTAGGCAGTTTATCTTTTACTCCCGAACGCAAAAGAGGAGTGGTTTTGAAGACAGCGTAATTCAGTAGCAGGGAATGCTCTTTCTACCTCAATTCTA